AGATCTTTTCCCATTCTGTGGGCTGTTGTTTTGTCTTACTGACTGTGTCCTTTGCCTTGCCTTCTCAGTTTCAGGAGGTCCCATTTATTAATTGCAGATCTTAATGTCTGTGCTACTGATGTAATGTTCAGGAAGCAGTCTTACATGCAAGTTCATTCTAGGGTATTTCCCACTTTATTTTCTAGATGATTCTGTGTGGCTGGATTTAAGTTGAGATTGTTCATCAATTTGCACTTAAGTTTTGTGTTGACGAATATGGATCTATCTGCAATCTTCGGTATGTCCGAATCCAGTTTTTGCAGCACCATTTGTTGAATATGCTCTTTTTTCCATTGTATAGGTTCAGCATCTTTGTCAAGAATAAGGTGTTCCTAGGTGTGTGGTTAATATCAGGGTTTTCAATTTGATTCCATTGGTCTATCTGTCTATTTTTGTGTCAATACCAAGCTGTTTTCAGAACTATGGCTCTATAATAGAGCTTGAAGTCAAAAATGGGGATACCTCCAGTAGACCCTTTATTGTACTGACTTGTTTTGGCTATCTTGGGTTTTCTGTTTTTCCATATAAAGTTGAGTATTGTTCTTTCAATGTCTGTGAAGAACTGTGTTGGGATTTTGATGGGAGTTGCGTTGAATCTGTAGATTACTTTTGGCAAGATTGCCATTTTTACTATGTTGATTCTACCAACAAGAGCATGGGATTTCTTTGCATTTTCTGGTATCTTCTTTAACTTCATTCTTTAAACACTCAAAGTTCTTACTTTACAGGTCTTTCACTTTTTTGGTTAGAGTTACCCCAAGATAGTTTAGGTTGCTTGTGGATATTGTGAAGGGTGGTGTTTCTCTGATTTCTTTCTCATTGAAATTATCATCCGTATATAGTTGGGCTACTGATTTTTTTGAGTTCATTTTGTATCCTGCTACTTTGCTGAAGGTGTTTACCAGCTGTAGGAGTTCCCTGGTAGAGTTTTTCGGGTCACTTATTTAGACAATTATATCAACTGCAAATAGTGAAAGTTTGGCTTTTTCCTTTCCAATTTGTATCCTATTGATCTCCTTTTTGTTGTCTTGTTATTGCTCTAGCTAGGACTTCAAGTACAATATTGAAGAGATATGGAGAGTGTGGACAGGCTTGTCTTATTCCTCATTTTCAAGGAATAGCCTTGAGTTTCTCTCCTTTAGTTTGATGTTGGTGTTGGTTTAGGTATGCTCCAGTTATTCCTGTTCTCTCCAAGATCTTTATCATGAAGTGATGTTGAATTTTTCAAAGGCTTTTTCAGCATCTAGTGAGATGATCATATGGTTTTTCTTTTTCAGTTTGTTTATATAGTGGATTGCATTGATGGATTTTCATATGATGAACCATCCTCGCATCCCTGGGATGTTCATAGTGGATGATTTTTCTGATGTGTTCTTGGATTTGATTCATCAATATTTTGTTGAGGATTTTTGCATGTTTGCATTTTGTATGTTCATGAAGAATATTGGTCTATAGTTCTCTTTTTTAGTTGTATCTTTGTGTGGCTTTGGTGTCAAAGTAATTGTAACCTCGTAAAAAAAGTTCGGCAATGTCCCTTCTGCTTCTATTGTGTGGAACAATTTGAGGTGTACAGGTATTAGCAGTTGTTTGAAGTTCTGGTAGAATTCTGCAGTGAAGCCATCTGGGCCTGGACTTTTTTTGGTTGGGATGCTTTTGATGATTGCTTCTATTTCATTAGGGATTATAGGTTGATTTACACTGTGTATCTGTTCTTGGATTAATTTTGGTAAGTGATAGCTATCCAGAAAATTGTCCATTTCCTTTAGATTTTTTAATGTTTTTGGAGTATAGGTTTTCAAAGTATGACCTGATGATTCTCTGGATTTCCTCAAAGTCTATTGTTACATCCCTCTTTTCCTTGCTGATTTTGTTAATTATTGTGCTCTCTCTCTCTCTCTCTCTCTCTCTCTCTCTCTCTCTCTCTCTCTCTCT